ACTCCCACGCACAGCTGACGGGAGTGTGAACTGGTGTCCATACTTTGGAGGGCTGTTGGCAAATACGTACTAGAGCTGAATGTGTGTGCACCTTACCCATTTATTTTACTCCTGGGGACATACCCAACAAAAACCCTTACAAATATGTAAAGAAAGATCTATCCAAAATTTGGAAACAACCCGCAAATCCCTCAACAAGTTGAGAAACAGCCATCTAGTGGAACATTACACAGCAACGAAAAGTAAAATATTGCTGACACAGGCAAGTCTGTGAACGAATCTCACAAATGTGACGGTGAGCAACAGAAGCCAAACACAAAAGAACACGTACTGTCGGGCTTCACAGGTCGGCAGCATTCATCTGTGGTTGCAGAAGTCAGAAGTGTGGTTACCTCTGAAAGGAGTAAGGGGGTAACAGTAACTAAGGTGCCACAATGGATACTCCTCGCCTTCTGTGTCACTATCGGGGTGCTGGCTGCACAGCTGTGCTCACTTTGTGACAACTAAGCTGTTCGCTTGTGTTCTTTATTTGTATGGGATATACGTGTATATTTTAAAAATCCGGTTGGGGAGCAAGAGTGGAACCAGAGAGACCAGTCAAGAAGCTGCTGGAGTGACCCAGGCAGGAGATTATGATGGCGTAGGTGAGAAGGGATGTTGTGGTGGAGAGGGAGGGAAGCAGACTAATTTAGGATATATTTTGGTGGGAATGTTTAATTGACTGGCTGATGGATTGGATGCTGAGAGGAAGGATGAATTCAACAGTGGCCCCGAGTTTGTGGCCCAAGCAGCCGGGCAGATATGGAACCCAGGCAAGGAAGACCAGGAATGGGCGTCGTGCCATTCAGGCGCCTTCATGTTTTACCTCATTGATTTAACCGACGACCTTCCTTGTTAGCTATTTTTATGCCCACTTTACAGGAGAGGAAACTGAGGCTCTCAGAGATGAAAGTATCTGTCCAGGCTTCCACTGGCCTGGGAGGACACAGGGTGGGAGACTTTTATCTGGGAGGCAGTCAGGTATAGTGCTGGATGGTGCCTGCAGACTCAAGCCAAACAGCCAGGGCCTGAAGCCTGCCTGTCAGGGGGCAACCTTGGGCACGTCTCTTGACTTTTTCGTCTTCTTCTGTAAAATGGGGATAAGAGTCTTACCTGCCTACAGGGCTAATGTATGTCAAGAGTTTTAAAGGGGCCTGATACAAGAAATAAGTCAGCCGCCTGTAAGTTAGCCATTTTTAGGGTCCATGTGGACTTCCCGAGGGGTGGAGAAACAGAAGGTAGACTTTAGTTCTTGAGCCAACACTCAGTTTCATTAGCATAGTGATTGCCCTTTTAAACACTGAAACAAATGATGGCATATAATGTTATTGCCACATAATAGAGATCATCAGGACCAAAATCCAGGAGCCAAAAGACATAAAGTGCATGTAACAGAGGAAAGCCTAGCTTGGCGAGGTGTTGGCTGGCTGGGTGACAACGTGCTTTTCTGTATGTTGGAGAGGAAAATTGCTGTAATTATTCAGCAACCATTTTGGACAGCTAAATTCCAGTCTCCTCCTGGTGCTTGGAGGTAGGAGACCATAAATTTTTACTTTGCAGAGTCAGTAGTTCAAAGAACTCTGCATTCTTGGATTCAGCGATGCTTCTCGTCACTTCTCTCTTACTAGAATTACTGTAGCAGCCTCTAAACTAGACTCTTCCAGTTTCTTCTCCAACCAAGACTTACGGGGTACTTACATTGTCCCATGTCCTCTGCGAGAACAAGCCCACAGGCAGCCGGCCCTCTTAGAGCTTCAGGTCCACATCACTGCAGAGTGATATTCCTGCGAGTAGCGAGAGCTCTGCGCATTGCGCAGGACTGACCCAGTGCTGCTACTGTGTGTGAGCTGACCGAGGTGATGACGGCGGTTGTGAATGCTGAGCTGTTGGTGCCTTCCAATGGCTCACCTGCCTGTACGGTCAAGGCCCACGGTCAAGTCCAAACTGAATTCCAGGCTTATTTCCCACCCCCGTGCCTGACACTTCAACCACACCACATCACTACCAGCCCCTTCATTTCCCGACCCCAGGCCCCTTGGATACGCTCTTTCCTCTGTCTGGAAACCTAATCCTTCAAGATCCAGTTTCAACCTTCTCTAACTCCTCCCCACAGATAGCACTCATCCTCCTTCCTCTCGTTTCACAGCACTCTCTACAGGAGTATTTCTCAATAGAGGTTAAGATATAACAGAATGACCTAAGAATCACTTCCAAAGCCGAGTCCAGTCCCTGCTCACCAGACAGTCAGATTCAGTAGGTCTGGGGCGCATAACGGTTTGAATCAAACAAAGTCAGGTTAAGTCCCAGCTCAGCTGTTTACCAGCCACGTGACCTTGGCCAAGTTATGTAACCTCTAAGGTTCTGCTAACTCTGTAAAATGAGGAGACAAGCAGGAATGATTAGCTGAAACAAAGAGAGTACAGAACTCAGTACTGTGTCTGACATCTGGGAAGCACTGAACAAATTGATAGTGAAAAGAATTTTGGTTTGTTCTGACCCTGGCAGCCTCTCCATTTCTTCCCCATTCTGAGAATTCATCAAATTGCATTATGATCTATTGTTTCTATGCTTCTGTCTCTATGCCTATGACAGCCTGGAGGGCGGGAGCCATGTCTTAGTTCTAGGTCCCCAGCATGGAGCACAATGCAAGGAAGAGCTATGTGATCTTGGTCAGGTACGTCTTCCTCTTTGGGCTGCAGATGTTCTCAATATTGAGGAGAATGTTACCTACCAGACAAGGCTATTGTAAATATCAAATGAGATTGCGAATGTGAATGTGCTTTGTAGGGAGTGGAGAAGTGAGCTGTTGCCATGGTTTTGCCATCGAGGGTGAAAAGGGGCTGTGATTCAGGCCTGTCATCTCATAGCCACGTACCCGTGACCCTCCGTGTCCTCTTCTTCCCCGTCCCATGGAATATCAGCGTGACCCTGTTTCTTTAAACATTCTTAGTTGGTTGATCCCCAATATAAGATTCCACAATGACTGGCACAATAGCTCAAGCCTTTCCAGGGATAAAGGCACTACGGATGCACTGGTGTGAGCGGAGGGCCTCTGGCACGCTGACCACTGAGAAGACAGCTGTGAGCTGGACAGACGCAATCCCTGCCCCAGGACAGTGTCCATGCTGGTCGAGGGAAAGCCAATGATAAACAAGTAAACATGAAAATAAAATAACTTCAGAGAGTAATAAGTACTAAGGAAAAATGAAGTAGGCAACGTTATAGACTAATTTGGGGAGCAAACATTAGCTAGAGTGGTCATAGGAGGCCTCTTTAGGAGGTGACATTTGAGCCAAAATCCAAAGGACAAGAAGGAGTCAGCCATGTGAAGATCAAGGTTATGAGGTGCCCAAGTAGAGAAAACAGAAAAAAAAATTAAAGCAGCTTGGTGCAAAATGGAGATAACTGTAGGTAGAATTACTGAGTCAAGAGAGTTGGTTGTGATGAGAACGGAGGGTTAGGCAGGATGCTGCCACGTGGGGCTTTGCAGTCTGGGATTTTGAAAATACAAAGAAATCAAATGAAAGAAAGGTAGTTACGGTGATCTCTGCGTCTCACGTGTACATTCACTCTGCAGCTATAATTCAACGTCTATTGTGTGTCAGTCCTCACACTAGGAGTTGGAGATAGAGAAATAAAATATGGAACCAGTTTTTATGAGCCTGGCAACTGACAGTACAGATGCATAAGTAATTATAATACAAGGTAATAAAAAAGTCTAGTCGAGAGATGTAAAGTAGAGAGAGTTGGAGCGGGGAGTGACTGTGCCTTAGGGGCCAGGGAAACTTTCAGTGAGAAGGAGGACTCTTTAACTTGAAGGTAAAGCATAAATAGTAAGGAAGAAGGACATCCCGGCCAAAAGGAGCAGCAGGTGCCAAGGCACTGGGGTGAACCTGTTCAGAATGAGGGGTCATCTGTTCTGGGAAGAACAGAGCTGGAGAGGAGGTCCTGATCTTCCTGGCGGAAGACCAAAGGCTTTGCTTCCTATTATAGATGTGTTACATATATGGGAGGGTTAGAAAGCTCTCTCTAGAGCGTGATAGATGATGGACATGAATAATGCGCTATGATAGAAGCAGTTAGACCAGTGAGTGGAGTTTGGACCAGTGCAGGCACAAGACCTGCCTTTGGTTATTGGTCACAGAAATGGAGAAGGAGGGAGAGATATTTCCGAGGCAGGGTGCCCTTTGTCCCCTAAGTAACAGGACCCCAAACTTCAGGGAAGCACTGACTGTATGGAAAACTCCCCATGCCTCCCTCTTGGTTTCACATACACTTCTGCTGGCGCCCTCTCGCCTCCCCGTCGGCTGCCCCCGCCTCCTTTCTCAGGCAGCTTGGGTCTCCCTGGGAGCGGGTCTGCCCTTGGGGGAGGCCTCTCAGCTCTGTGCCTTGCAGCTCCGCTGACATTCAGGGCTGACGGAAGAGGGGCTTGGCGCCCCCCGCATGCACATGTGCTAGCCCAGGCAGGAGGGAGAGCCTCCGCGGAGGAGTCCAGAAAGAGTGGGAGGGAGACACTCGCCAGAATCTTGGTCCCGGGCGCCCAGGTCGGCCGCAAAGGAGCTGCAGCCTCCAACAGGTTCGTAGAACGCGCGCTCGCTCTCTGTTGCTGAGCCGCCACCTCCTCCTCTGGAGCGGGTTCGCCGGAGAGACCCCAGCCATAGGCCCCGCGCGGCGGAGCTCCCTGAGGGCGGCTTCCTCCGGCCCTCCTTTCTCCGCGTAGCTCTCAACCGCCACCGGCTCTTCCGGGGCGAGGCGGAGGGCGTCACGGGCGTCTTCTCTCTTCAGCACCACCTCGGGGACAGCTCCCGCACCCGGCGGGGTCGGCTCCCCGAGTCAGCACCGCACAGGCGGACAGCGGCCGCCGGGCGGGCTCCTCTCCCCGTTCGGCTCGGGTTCGGCACCGCGGCCGCCGAGGACAGTC